ACGTGCGTGGCACGTCATTGCAGCGCAAGAGGTTAACCACTTGCGCTGACAAGTAATTGCGGACCGTAACGAGTGACCAAAACCGTATACAATAATTCGTCGCTTTCTTTTTCTTGAACTCGTCGTGGTGATGATATCACTGGGTATAAATTACTGAAAAGTAAATTTATTCCTTGTTTTCCCTGTTTTGTTTTCCTTAAATATACTTGAAACGGAGAAAATACTACGATTTTGGGACAAAAAAAAAAAAAAAATTGTCGACATTCCAGCGCAAAGAAGTAAAGTTTCTCTGCTTCTCGCTCGAAACAAACAGTTAAGCAAGACGATATATATGTTTCTGCCATCTGAAAATTTCTCCCATCTTGAACGTTAAGTTAAAATCGTTTTAGCCTTTTAGCAAGTGTTGAACGTCTCTTAAATTTATTTGTTGGTTCATGTTGTTTTCTTTCCCCGGAGAATGGAAGAGACTTAAAGCCCTCGTGGCCTTTCTTTGCTTGCTTTCTTGCCGTCGTTTAATAATACAAGCTGACGCGAAATCCCCGTGGTTCTTTCTTTCTCTTCTAAAGTTTTCCTCGCCAGCAGGAACAACACTGTATAAGCAAAACTGTAGCATGTCGTTCTGTCCAAAATTCGACAAATTATCCTACGTACTAAGATCGGCGAATTAAATTCAACCGCGTTGCAAGTGGATTTTGTATCGGTGTTAATCGACCGGTTAATACCCACAGGAGATATTCCGACCAACTTTCTCCGCGAGATTCCGCGATTTTAACGAAGCTCGTTTAATCCATGAACCACCGGGGGATAAAGTCTCGGAATAAACTCCCTCTGTCTCTATCGATTGCCCCTCTTCCTTTATCGCGACACCAAAATTATGCATAATCCCCGGGCGAACGATCACGGGGAACGCCGACCGATTTCGATATTATATATTTAAATTCACCGGCGGAAAACAGGATTTCATTTTTGCCGGGGTATTATCGCCCGATTCGAGCGGCCGACGCGTTAAATTTCGACGGAGCCGTTCGCAATTTTATACGCGATAATTATAAAATTTTCGTAGCTAGTCGCTAGCCTGCTGGATTTTTACGAGAGGGGGGGAAATTGCGAAGTTGCGAAAGCGCATGAAATAATCGGAGGGGAATAATTTATCATGGCGGACGAATAGACGAGTAAACGAGTAAACATACGCGCGCAGGTATCAGCTCTTCAGTTTAGTGTTCGTAAAAATGGCCTGCCAACGACGCGTCTGCTTTTAATCTATTTTTTGATGGGAAATTATTATAATTCTAGTCGTTGAGGGTGAAACGAAAGGGAGCAGACACGGACAATTGAACGTTGAAATATTTAATTTTTAAAAGGATAAATTTAATCTTTGAGAAGGTAAATTTAACATTCAACATTTAGAAAGATGAGTTTAATATTTGAAATTTTAATTCATGATAATCTGTTATCATTGTTAATTTATCGTAGCAATTCAGTGACATTTAATATTTAAAGGATAAATTTAGTATTAAAAAAAAAAAAAAAAAAAAAAAAAAAAAAAAACGTTTTTNAAAAAAAAAAAAAAAAAAAAAAAAAAAAGAAAACGTATTTTCGCAGATAAACTCGTAAAAGTATGAACGACTCGTAATCTTGCGTGCGTGTAGAGACGACGAGGCTTCTCGTATCGCGGCCATTTCGAGCCGATCAGTATCTATACGAATCGAAACTATTTACCGATACGGAGTATAATTAGCGGCGGCACAATGTAACGATTTAGCAAACAATGCGCGTATTATCTACGCAAGTTCGGACTTCTAATTTCTGCGGCTCGGATGCGGAACGCCCGGCCAACGATTACGATCGCTCTCGTCGATTCGGCCTGTTCGAAAATTTCGTTTAATCTCCGGGAATACCGCAGCAATGCGGCTGTCGTCCAGCTTCCTGCTTGCTTAATAGCTACGTCCGTTAATCAAAGGTTCGAATTCTTTCGAAAGGGAAAGGTTTGAAAGAAATTTAGAATGTTTAGATATCTCGCTTCTTTATTCCAAAATATTCTGGAAAAGCTCTGCCAAAAGCTTCCATCGTGTCTTCTGAAAAGGCGAATAAAGACGACTTTTGAAAGTAAATATTCCATTGTCGATTCGGGCAGAAAGCGAAATTTTAATTTTGTTTCTAAAAATGTCAACCGTAGAAAACCACTTCGATTGGAACGCGATTGAAGTTGACTCAAGCTCGCGTTCGACGAGTTGCCTATTTCGAAATTCGTGGAAATCGTGAGATATAGCGAAACGAAACGAACAAAAGGGGGGGGGGGGTGAACGTAAAAGAATGGCAAGCCCGTGTGAAAAGCAACGAACATATCCGCGCAAAAGAACTTGCAAATTGAGAATCAATCAAGAACAGTAACCAGACTGATTTTTCGAACTTTATTTCTCCTCGAAATGTGTACACCACCAGAAACCTCGAAACTCCGCCCGTCTCCTTTTCACCTCTCTCGCCTCGCTCGCGGCTCTTGCGACATCTTCCCCCTCCCCCGGAAGATTAACAATTTCGTCGGAATAAGTGAGAACAATAATTCGATGATGTGTAAAATTCAATCGTTTTATTTAATTGACAAAGTGTTCATAATGGGCGGCGACGCGGCACGCGCCGGCCACGCTATTAAATACGTGTTACTGCGATAACAAATATGTACAGTTGGTGGAATCGAGACAACGCCAGTGAGGGAATTGAAAGGTATCGCGGTAAAAATCAACGTAGCCCGCGTTTACGAAGGAACGGACATTGCCGAAGGAAGGAACTGCGAATGGGATTGCCAACGAAAGTAGACTGAAAGTGTTGATTACACTTCTCCCCTAACCTCGTTAAATCGTGAAAGAGCGAGTTACTTTGATCTTTGATCTTGGGGGGGGGGGGGGAAGGAAAGAATGGGCAGAAAGAAAATTTCAGGCGACTCTGAACGAAACTTCGCCCGTTCCAAAATTGCCATTTCGACGCCCGGCAGGTGCAAGCTTCGACGGATCGATTTTACGAGGTCGCCCTGTATCGGTTCCACCGACGATGCACGCGTACGTAACAAACTAGTGATACACCTCGAGAATGATTAGGGGAGATAACGTTACTTCGTAACGAGGCGACAACCTCGTTCCTCCTCGTCTTCTTCTTCTTCTTCTTCTTCGTGTTTCCCTTCGTCTTCGCGTTTTTCTTTCTTCCTTCCAGTTTTTCTTTTCTTCTTCTTTTATTTACAAAAACCACCGGGAACCCGTGGGGGGGGGGGGGTTATTGGCAACTAGAAGAGGCTTACGGTCCTAGAACGATCACACACGCACGATCACTCGTCATTGCACACCGCCTCCTCTGGCGGGCAGCCATTGTAGCGTCGACCAAGCATGCAAGCCAGTTAAAACAAGCGGCAACATACAGACACGGGGGGGGG